AATAAAAAAAAAAATTTTTTGTACTAATTATTCGTTTTCAGATTTATGTAATCGATCTTCACCGTATGAAAAGTCTCACTCCAATAACCCACGACTCTTAAAACTCATAGTAGTCTCCCCTTAATATTATCAAGTTTTTTGTAAAGTGCAATCGTTATTTGCCATATATCTTGTGAATTTTTTGGTATCAAAATTTGCAAACACTCATCAATATTTTATTTTTATCAATTAGCTCATGCAGTGAGCTAAGTGAATTGTGGTTAATTATTGAACTTCCGTTCCTTGGACTTTAAACTCACTTGCGTTCGAGTCACTTGTCTGTAGCTGTGCGGGAGATATTATTGGCGTATCAGAAGTATATTGGGCCTTACAGCCCCAGGGAAGGGTCAGCATAAAATTCATTCGTCTATCGCGTCAATTACCCCGCACAACCCAAGTAAAAAAACCCCATGGCACTCGTAGTGAACGATAGTTTTCCGTAGTGATGTTCACTTTTACGAGTTTGGGGAAGGCCCAGTACCAATCCCCGGACGTGCAGGTCAGTACGGAAAAAATCACATCTCGGAAATGGGCTGTCGAAAAAATCTGAAAAAAATTGAGAGATGGTTTTTCTAGCCCCCCAATCGTAGAAAAAATCGAGATCAATTTCCGAAGGGTGAGGGTCAGCCGTTGACTCATTTGGCATGGAATACCTCATATGCATTTTTATATTTTGAAAAATAATGGAGAATCGAGAAGTTCTGGGGTGATGTTATAATACAGACGTTTTAAATCGCCTTCAACTGGTTGATGTTCCATTAATTATCGAAATAAAAAAGTATCTGTCTAAAATTATTCATACCATTTTTATATTCAGCAAAAACTAAAGTCTGAGTGACATTATCAATTTATATTCCCCACTTAAATTCGATTTGATTCGATTTATCTCCTGTCCTCCACATCTTTGCTACATTAAGAAGAAAAAATGTCGAATGCGATAACCATGAATAACGATAAAGCTCGTAACTCATGAATGAAAATGAAAAACAAATGGAAGTGTGACCAAACCAATTAGATAATTAAAACTCTGTGCAATTGTATCTTACTTGAGAAAAAAAGTGTGAGTGTATGTTTATTGATTGATGATAACAGAGGAAAGCAGAACGGAAGAAAAAGGATAAAAAAAAACAAGTTGTGTATACGTATGTGTATATATTATGTCGCATTAATGTAATTTAGATAATTGCGTATTAGAATTTGATCGATTGAATTTTAGAATCGAAACGAATAAAAAAGTGAAGAAGTGATGATTCACGCATAATTCCGTTCCCTGGCATAAATTATTCATTATTAAAGAAGAAAAATCCAATTATTACGAATGCGTAATGAGTCTAGACTGAATAAATTTAATTTGTCAAATTGATTTTAACGAGTATCTAAGATCTCGCCGTTGTAACTTATTCATGATGAAAAAACCAATTATTTACACTTTGTTTTTTTTTATTGAAAATTTAATTTCGTACCTAGATATTCAATTATGTCGACTAAACCATGGAGATAAAAAAATGAAACATGTAGTGTATTCAATACGTACCATTTATCATACATTTGATCTTAATCTTTGATTATCGAAAGATTATGTAATCGTATGAGGATTTCCAATTAATAGTGCATCGATAGCAAAAAACAAATGTGATGAATTCCATTTTTTCAAGGAATAATTTCTTTCAAATTGCAGATAAACATTTAATGTATACCTCATTTTTGTCTCAATTAAACGAAATAATATCCAGTGATTTGATGTTTTTTTCTTTCATCCTGAAGGTTGAATTTTGGAGCTGTGCGTGCGGGGAGTGGAGTCTGCGTTCGTTATATTCGTACGCCAACGCATTAAGGTTACCTAGAAATAGTATTTTTCCGGGCTGCTGCGATGGGGTTTTTTACTCGTGCGGCGTTGGCGTCCGAGCCGAAGGCGAGGACTGGCCAACACACGAGTAAAAAAACCCCATCGCAGCAGCCGGAGACAAGATTTTTTTGTAGTGATTTTCAAGTTTTCGAGTTTGGGAAATATGCAGTACCAATTCCCAGACGAGAAATCGTACAAAAAGCAGTACAGAAAACACGTTTTCATCACTTTTGCGTAAAGTAAAATTTCACGCACGTGCGCAAAATCCCACTTTTCACACATTGTGATGAAAAATATCGTTCGATACTCATGGGAAAAAGGTTTTCTGGCTCGTGGGAGGCTTAAGCACGAGTCGAAGGCGACTTTTCCGACTTGTATCGAAACATACTATTTTCTTAAAATTGTCCCCATGTTTTTCATAGCTGATGTTTATAATAGTCCCCAGCCTTTGCAAAAAATTCTAACTGTACTACACAGTTTAGGAGATAATAAATAAAGAAACGCGAGACGTAGGCAAAAAGGGGTTTTCGGTCCCGCGAACTCGATTTTTCCATCTTATGGGAAAACGGTTTTTACGATGTTCTTAACAAACTCATCCGTGATAGATTGATAAATTCCGAATACGGTGAATTTTTTGTTAAATTTTGTACTGCATAGTTTCTGCGATATTTAACACGAAAAAATGGAAATTTCGTGAAAGCATTCCTTATTTGATTCAAAACGGTTATAGTTGCCTTCGTCAACAAACATGAGAACAGAAAAACTCAATAACTTATGAGAATGAAATAAATTAAGTTATTTAGAATTTTTTCCGGAAATCCATAGGGACTAACTTTTGAGTCCGATCGTCTTGGGATATATCTCAACCCCTCAAGTACTAGGCTATACGCAATACCCCCTTCCAGTGGACATGAAAAATGTGGCACGATTTTATGATCGAAATTATTGTTTTCGGGGGTGAGGAATTCGAATTTATTGGTGTTCCTGCGATTCCAATGGGCAATAATTTGTTATAAACAATTTGATCTCAATTTCTCACGAAAAATTGATTTTTCATGCACACAATTACACATACCGAAAAATATTTCAGGTGAAAGTTATTCGTCTTTCTCATACAAACAAAATAGTTTTTGGTTTCTCAAAACCGGCCCAGTGCTTCGCGCGCTATCCGCCAATTAATGAGAGTTCTTAACGAACAAATGATTTTTCACGAAAAATGATTAACATTCACATGACCCCCATCGTCCTTAATCTGACCCTCGTGACCCTTATTCTGTCCCTCATGACCCATATTCTGACCTTGGCAACCCTTATTCTGAGCCTTATGATCCTGATTTTGAACCTCGTGACCCTCATTCTCACCCTTATAACCCTTATTCTGACCTTCGCAACCCTTATTCTGACCTTTATGATCCGGATTTTTAACCTCGTGACCCTTATTCTGACCCTCATGACCCATATTCTGACTTTCACGACCCTTATTCTGACCCTTATGATCCGGATTTTGAACCTCGTGACCCTTATTCTCACCCTTATAACCCTTATTCAAACCTACGCGGCCCTTTTTCTGACCCTTATGATACTGATTTTGAATCTCGTGACCCTTATTCTGACTCTTGTAATCCTTATTCTGACCCTCATGACCCATATTCTGACCTTCGCGACCCTTATTCTGACCTTTATGATCCGGATTTTGAACCTCGTGACTCATATTCTCACCCTTATTACCCTTATTCTGACCCTCATGACCCTTATTAAGACCTTCGCGACCCTTGTTCTGACCCTTGCGACCCTTACGATCATGATTTTGAACCTCGTGACCCTTATTCTCACCCTTATAACCCTTATTCTGATCCTCATGACCCATATTCTGACCTTCGCGACCCTTATGTTGACCTCTGTGACCCTTAATTGTGGAGTCCCAATTTCGATTACCAACTTTTCATTGGAGTAGGTTGAATATGTCACTTTCTGAAAATGTCACGATCTGAGTCGGTAGGGCAGAAACTAGAATCCGCTTGTGGTGACATCTGAAGAGTAACTTGATAATCAAAATTAAATGGGATCCGAGAGATGGCGAGCGCGCTGCTGAAATATGGTTAACAGTGGTTGTCACATTAGATTCTGTAGAAGAACAACGATTAGAGGAGTCGACTTAGCGGACCCAGTTGAGAGTTAGAACTCTTGAATTTTTACAGCAGTTAACAGAAAGTTAAGAGTTAAACTAACAGCCTGAACTCTTAACATTCTCCAGAGTTAAGAGTTCAGATTCGGGAGGTTTCAAGAGCTCTCTGAACTGTCAACATTTTCCAGAGTTGAAAGTTCAGTTTCGGGGAGTTTCAAGAGCTCTCTGAACTCTAGACATCCTTCAGAGTTCAGAGTTCAGTATCGGGAGTTTCCGGTGCTATATCAACTCTTAACATTCTGCAGACTTATGACGTTAGTATGGGGGGGGGGGACTCAGAACTCACAAGATTCTCCAGAGTTGAGAGTTAATTTTCAGGAATTTCCAGGAGCAATTTGAACTCTCAACATTCTCCAGAGTTGAGAATTCAGATTCGGGATGTTTCAAGAGCTTTCCGAACTCTTAACATTCTCCAGAGTTGAAAGTTTAGTTTCGGAGGATGGCAAGAGCTCTCTGGACTCTCAACATTCTCCAGAGTTGAAAGTTCAGTTTCGGGGGGTTTTAAGAGCTCTCTGAACTCTTAACATTCACCAGAATTAAGAGTTCATTTCCCCTTTTGAGTTAATTTCGATGAAGTTTTAGGGGCAGTATGAACTTTCAACATCCTCCAGAGTTGAAAGTTCAGTTTCGGGGGTTTTTAAAAACTCCCTGAACTCTTGAAATCCTTCAGAGTTAAGAGTTCAGTAAAGGAAGTATTCAGTGCTATATTAACTCTTAACATTATTCAGACTTATGACTTTAGAATAGGGGTGGAGGGGGGGGGGAGTTCGGGGGTAGAGCTTTCTGAACTCATCCGTGTATTCACGAAAGACTAACTCACTGAAATGAATGAAACGATCCGACGACTTCCTTGAAATTGTAAACATGCGCGTGAACTTGCGCACAGCGGACTACTCGAGTCAGCGTCATCTTCACATTGTATCTCTCATTCTCATTCGCAGAAAAATCTGCTGCATGCAATCACCACTAAATAATCAACAAAAATTAATGAGTTGTCGACAACATTAGAAAGACTCTTAGTGCCTCCTCCACAATCATCTCACGTCATGTGTCATAAACGTAAAGAAATGATAACAAAAATGACTGCGACTGAGTGCACAACCTCCACAAGTGAGTACTCGATAAACACATTCAGCAAAAAAATCCCCCAGTTGATTGTTGAATCCAGCGATTGTTGAATTGATCCCAAAAGGAAAACAAATGACAGCAGCTCAATCAATATTGAAATCGATTCATTAATTTTCAGAATGAGTCGCAGTTGAATGCTAATGAGCATTATCAGCCCAGACCGATAAATTTCATCAATCAAACGAATAAAAAATCCTCGTCATACATCAACGTTATCTACTATGTTGTTGACATTATTCTACATGATATCAACGTGGGTACAATCATGGAGACTTTCATCTCTGAAGGCTCGTTTAACAGCTGCCCTAAACCTTGGTCTCGATACAAGACCATCAATTATGTTTTATATAAAACAGGATTTCGTCAAAGATGGTGACTCTGAAATTCATATGTTTATATCGCCTATAAACCTCCTTATTTCATTATTAAATCAACAGTAACAATGGTTTATGGACCTTTCAGACGCGAGCAAAAATCCTGGTGTCAGTGATAATGGTCAAGATTTACTGACTTCTCAATTGTGTCGTAATAGAACTACAGCAAAACTTGGTGATCTTCTTTGGTGCCAAGGTGACAAGAGACTGTGCACCATTTATCCACTGGTATTAATCAACTTTGTTCATTTAGTTATTTTCTAATTATCACAATTATTTATGTCTCTGATATGTGGGGACACTCCATACAGAGTAGTTGCACGAGAAATAGTGGGTTTAGAGGGAGGTAAAACTTTAGGTAGGGGAGAGTAGGGCAAAATGAAACAGTCGAAAAACGAGAGTTTGACGCAATTCAAGCGAAAAAAAGCATTTTATTAACTATTTTTTTCATTAACTTTTGTTTACTAACTTTTTATTATTAAGGTAAATGTACCTATGCTCGTTTTCGTCCCTAAGCTCGTTCAGATCCTGCCAGCTATGACATTTCAATCATTTTGATAGTCCCAAGAGTCTATTAAGAGTGAAGTACGATTGGAGTTATTATTTTAGTCAATAAGAAAAGTTATAGACACCAATGCAGAGTGATTTATTGAATAATAAGAGAGAAAAATCACATTCACATCAACTCGTCCTACGACAGATTCAATTCTTAAGCCACAAGTTAAGAAACTCACAATTTTAAAACGTTGATATCTCCGTTACAATAGTAAAATGGAATTAAAAATCCCTTGGCTAAGGTTTCGAATAGTTGAAAATTTACTAAAAATGCATAAATTCCAGTAATACCCGGATATTTCACTGAAATATTGCCAATTAAAAGAATAGGTACAATGAAAATGGCATTGATCCTACGCTCGTTTTGCACCCAACTGTCAACTGGTAACGGACTAAACGGATGAAAAAATCATTTAAAAGGTTGGACTGTCCAATGGAAATATAATTTTGGGCATCGAGATATTTTTTAATGTTGTTTTATCACAAAATAGGATACTCACGATGTAATTAGTTCGGATATAACCTTTCCATATCACTCAAATCACGAGACGAGGATAGGGACATATATCAAACGAGGATAGGGACATATGTCAAACAAACATGGGGACAAATGAACGAGCGTAGGGACATGGGACTTTTCACATTCATTACGATTATTTATTAAATTTAACGATTATTTATTAAAAAAATAGTAATTATCATAATTAATATGAATAAATTCCAATTCTGAAGGTTTTACCCTCTGATATGTAATTGAAATCATCGCATCGTCACGCTCATTTCGATAGAAATATTGGACTAATGATTTGTTTACCTTAGCTAGACGAGCATAGGGTCATTTACCTTATTGGGAGTACTGATGAGAATAATAATTTTCCATTCATTAGAATGGAAAATAATTGAGAAGTTTTGACGGGAGAAGATTCTGTCAATGGATTAATTGAAGAGAAAATGAAACAGCAAAATCCAAAGTCCAGAGGTAGGCCCGGGGGGAGACCCAGAGTGGGAAAAAGGAAAATGTGATGCTGAATTTCAGTCAAATGAAAAAAGAAAAGGGTAATCACCCTAATCTAATTAATTAAGTTATAGATGACATATTTGTTATTTTGTATAAAAAAGAGATGTCACATTTTCATTCCTGAATGTTCCGAAAGAGAAGTCGCATGCATGATGATGATGATACTGATTTTGTTGATGATGTTGATGATATTGATGATGTTGGTAATGTATCTACGGAGAAATGTTTTCAATCACGGACAATTATATCAGTAGCCAAGCGATAAACCGTGTCAAGTCGATTTTGACTTTTGGTCAGTTTTTGCTGAATATCTCGGAATCTAAGAGAGATAACAACATTTCTCTCATGACCTTTTTTATATCCCTCAATGTGCTCTACAAAAAAGGTCATAACAAAAATTTTTGTACTTTTTTTAGATTCCGAGATATTCGACAAAAACTTGCCAATAGTCAAAAACGACTTAATTCGGTTTACCGCTTTCATCATTTTTTTATGAATTTCTCCTTAGTAACCGGGGCAATGTGGGGTAGCTAAGACAAAGAGGCGGGTGTCAAAACTTCTGTCATACCTATATAGCTTTTTAGCAATCACTATTCACATTCTAAAATTATCAACTCGTGTCTTCAACGTATTACAGTTGGGGGCACAGTGGGGTAAAGTCAAAAAACTTTAAAATAATTGTAAATGTTGTTTCGTTGTTTTTCACCTTCGAATCTCCAAAAAAAGACAGAAAAACTCTGAAATCGGTAGGGTTTTAATTAAAATACTCAATATGGCGGCTCATCCCGGTGGTTGAAAGAATTGAAAAAATTTCCAGAGTTCTTCTATTTTTTCTTAAATTTTCCTTAGTATCATTCGAATTTTTTCAGCTGTTTTTAAGCTTTTATTGATCTTTGATCGACCCCTCGTCAACCTCTTGCATTTCTCAATTTTGCCCTTTTTTTATGTACACCACTATGCCTCGGTCTCCCCGACTATAGAAATTTGTATACGTAAAATAACATATTGATTCAAATCAACTTACAATAATAACGTAATGAATCATATAAAATCAATTATAGTGACAAGTGCGCGGAGTGCGCCTTCGATCTCATTACTTGAAAAGAGAATTGTCGATAAAATTAGTGAAAGTCATTAATATTGTCGTCTTGACATAAGAAATATATGAAAACTCTTCGGGGGTTTCGAATGAGGAGAGAACATAGACTCAGCAATGACGAGATCTTACTTTGGCGTTGAAGAGCCAAGGGATAAGCTGACTAGTGGACTAGACGCTGAGATCGAGATCTAACAGGGGAGTGAGATTCATCTGTGGAGATAGTCGCTGCGCTATATAGGGGTTTCTAATATCAGTGATTTTTTTGCACCGCATGTTCTTTTCTACCGAATAGAAAATTATTATTTTTGTCACTACTCCCAATTATTACATAATAATAATCCGGTGAAATTTTTCATCGCCGATTTGATTTCTTTGCTATTTTTTTTATGTATTCTATGAAAATGTGAGGATAGAAAATGAATTTATGGGTATTGGTTCATTATTTGAAAAAATATACCAATTTTAAAATTTTCCCGAGACATTGAAAAATTAAAAATTCGGTTTTCCTGTTGATCTCGTTTCTCTTCCTCTTTTCACTGTCTTCCATCAGAATTAGATAATAGAAAGAAAATACATTGATTTTTCTTCGTTATTAAAAAAAAAAAACGTTTTGAAATTTTCAAGATTGAAAAATCGGTTTTTAAATTCATTTCTGATTTTCCTTCCCTACATTTTCCATATTTCCTGTTTCTGTGAACGGAATACGATCACAGGAACTAAAAATGTTGATCTCCCTCCATTGTTTAAGAAAAAAATAATTTGAAAAATTTCGAAAAGCCAGAGAAAAATTGATTTTTTCATTTTATTGATACTGATTGATGATGATCGATCTCTCATTGCAATTTCCTTTTTCGGTTCCACTGAAATAAGATCAAAGAGTTGTGAAATGTTCATATTCGTTTACATTTCAGATCATTGGTACTAATTAATTTAAAGAAAAAAAAAGAAATGAAAAATTTTAGGTATGATTATAGAAAATTGTTTGTCGATTTGTATTCTCGCGTGATTTATGGGAAATTTCTCTTCATTCAGTGTTGTAACTTGTGAATTAAGGAACAAAAATATCTATAATAACAATAAGAATACATAAAATTAAATCAGCCTAATTGTGAAGACGGAAATGGAAAGAAAATAAAATAAAATAACATAGCATAAATTAATCTAGCGCCGCGCGAAAAACGCCCGTTCGCTACACGCACGAAGAAATTTAATAGAAAACCCTTGAATTTCTCGAACTTTCTACTACTTTTTGGCTGATTCTATTGACATGTTCAGTAGAAAACATTTAATAGAATAAGTCAACAGAATTCGATTTTTCTATATAACTTATTCTTTTTATATGTTTTCTATAGAATTTGTTCGACTCAAATTTTCTAAGTTTTTTTCATTCCATTTTTATTTTCTTCTCATCAAGAAAATCAAACGAAAAAACTTGGAAAATTTGAGCCGAGGAAATCCCATAGAAAATATCTCAATAGCATAAGTTATATAGAAAAATTGAATTCTATTGACTGTTTCTACTGAATATTTTCTATTGAACATTTCAATAGAATCGCCCCAGAACTAATAGAACAGTTCAATAGAAATTCAATAGAATTTTCTAACGAATTCGATAGCTTTTTCTGTTAAATCTTTTCGTCCGTGTAGTAATAAAAAAATTAATAAACAAAAGTTGATAAAAGAATTTTTTTTTGCTTGAATTGCGTCAAATAATCGTTCTCCGACTATTTCATTTTGCCCCCTGTTTCATTTTGTCCCACTCGCCCCTAGGTGTATTCAAAAAATCATCTGCAAATCGTTCAACTCAGGAGTCTCTCCGCTCCCCCATCTCCACTAACGATTTCTTTCAATTTTCCCACAGCAAATAATTGACGTCAACGACTGGTTGCTCTACCCCTTCGGTCACACAGCCTTCCCCCTCTACATGAACAACAACGGTCACTCCTTAACTACCGAAGACTCGAAGATGTACGTGTTGATCGAGGCTGAGATCAACCACTTCCACCCGAACGCCTTCACAAAAATAGTCAAGCTCGAGGACTACGGTTTAATCGTCGCCTGGACTGTCGAAAAAACCTTCGCCTTAATAATCGAAACCGACCTGGACCACATGACAAAGCTAACAATAGCCCTGATGCAGAGCCAGTGCTTCATGAACAACGGATTTCCCCTGACGAGAATCGAGTCAGTGGAGGTCTCCGGAAAGCCCTGCAGCTACAACCTGAGTAACACCGTCCTCCAGGATAAGAAACTCGTGGGCAAAGCCCAGTTCGAGGCGCACATAAACCGCCTGAAGCACTTCAGCAGCACAGCCAGACACGTCTCCCAGCAAAAAAAGCCCTTCGAAGTCGATAATGTACCTGGCGTGATAATATCCCCTGGGAACAACCCCCTGACCCTCCAAATGCCAACAGTTCTCGAGATAAATCCAGCCCCAGAAGAGGATCTGACTGAGTCCTATGGACGTACAGAATCCCAAGGACGTATCACTCCCTCCACACCCCCTCCCACACCAGCTGTATTCAGTGATGTAAATCAGACCACCAACACCCTGGACAACGTCTCCCTAGCCTTAACCAACAGCATCTCTTCAAGTCAACCACACCTCAACGTCCAGAGCAATCGAGTGAATCCCCTGAATACGATGAGTCCAGTGAATGAGTCCCTCCCATCTCCAAGTACCTCGACATCCTCAAGAAATTTTACTTCTGATTCCCACCTGGATGTGGCTACAGAGGCATCAAAGTACTCCCCCAGACGAGATAAATCTCAGGTCAATGGAAAGTCAGAGTTTGATGTCTCGATGAAACCTCCTAACGTTCTAATCCACGCAGACAGTGAAATAGCAAGGGAAAATATGAAAACTGTGCTTGAGTCAACTCTCAACAGGGATAAATACACTATTTACAATCTTAATGCTGAGGAGGCGAGGAAGGACGCCTGGGTGGGCCAGACGCGACTCGTCGTCGTCTGTGGGAACGTCGATGGGGAGATAAGCTCCCAATTGCTGGAGTATCTCGTCAAAGGGGGGAAACTGTTGACATTGTGCTCAGATGCTTTGCATTCACTGCTCCCTTCCTTCAAGACTGCTGAAGTGAGGGAACACGAGCTCGTGAGGTTCTCCTATGGGAGATGGAGGAACGTCAGGATGATGCATCACATATTCTGTTATCAGGCGTCACCTGTGAAGTCCAGGTTCTCTCAGGACCACGAGGATGGGAAGGTCAGTGCTCCACAGCCCCCGGTCTCAGCGAACGCCAGGGATAAGGCGGGGAAGAGTCATACATTCCATGTGAAGGTCCTGGGGACTGAGGAGACCTGGCATACGCCCAGCATTGTCCTCGCGGATCTCCTCAGCACTGGGGGGAAAGCTGTGTTCTCCCAGATTCATCTGGAAGCTGATCCCTCGCAGTATGAGTGCGAGGAGGACAAGTTCAAAGCTCTCAAGGAGAGCAATCAGGCCAGGCTGGAGATCATTGGGGATCTGCTGGCTACACATCTGGGGATGGATGTTAATGCTGTCATCGAGGCGCCGGTTTTTACGCCGGGGTTTTTTCTTGGGAGACATGAGGTTTGTTTAGAGGTGTATTTCATCTGCACTGAGAGAAAAACAGCAGGGTTCTCAGACAAGTCTTATTTGTGCCAAAAAATCATGTATGAAAAAATTACATAGAAAAACTTGGCGAATTCACTAGAAAATTCTGCTGGAAATCTCTAGGAATTGATTCTAATGATGTGTATAAGGAACTATTTTGTGGAAAAAATCAGGGGAATGTGATTTTTCATGGGAAAATCTAATAACAAAACTTGGGAAATGTAGGAAATTTTATAGAAAATATTTCAATTCAATAATATAATTAAATAAATATAATTTTGTGCATCGAGATATTTTTTAATGTTGTTTTATCATAAAATAGGATACTCACGATGTAATTAGTTCGGATACAACCTTTCCATATCACTCAAATCACGAGACGAGGATAGGGACATGTGTCAAACGAGCATGGGGACAAATGAACGAGCGTAGGGACATGGGACTTTTCACATTCATGGACGGTTATTTATTAAAAAATAGTAATTAGCATAATTAATATAAATAAATTCCAATTCTGAAGGTTTTACCCTCTGATATGTAATTTAAATCATCGCATCTTCACGCTAATTTCGATAGAAATATTGGACTAATGATGTGTTCACCTTAGCTAGACGAGCGTAGGGTCATTTACCTTACCAGTGAATTAAATTATTGAAACCAAGTAGTTTTCCATTATTAATGGAATGCAACTCGTGATTCAACATCTTGTTCTCTTTCAATTGTTCTGATGACGTTGTTAAATTCACTGACTTTTTACAGCTGAAGCTGGAGATGCTGGAGGGCTTGAAAGATAAAATACAGAATGACATCCTCGAGACGTCTAAGATAAAACTGCAGTTCTGTGGAGCTACAACTAAAGCTGTCCCTGCCTCATCATCAATTCTGCCAATTATGCTGCATCAGTGTCCTGAAAATTTCTCCACTATTGAGTATTTCGAGGTAATTTAATTACGTTTTCATGGTGATTACTTTAATGACTGATTTCTTCTGTTTTTCTTGACTGACGCATTTTTTAATGAAGCTGTTAGAAACCTACGTATAAGGTTTATTCACAGTTGCTAATAATTAGTACAGTATTAGCTTATTTATAAATAAATAAGCTAATATTCTACCGTATACCGTATTTCCATCGCTGTCTGCGTTTTTTGCCAACATATCCGGCATCTCATTTTCCATACTTGCCTGACTGAAAAAATTAATAACCGCCGAAGATTAAAAAAAGTAGGGTTTTGAGTAATTAACGATTGAAAAAAAGAATGTTTTCTTGTATAAACCATGTTTAACTGAAGATAATGTTATGTATGATGTCTCAGTCTGAAGAGTTTTTCGTGTTTTCTGAGTGTGCCGAAAAGCAATTTCATAGCTTGAAATTCCGCTAAGACATTGAAGCCAATTTTAACCAAACAAAAATCATTGAAAAAAATCGAATTTAAAAAAAAACCATAGCCTCTTCAATTATCAATATTTTTCAACTTTTTTTCTTAAAATTTTGGTCTAATACCCATCTTTTCAGAAACAAATTGAAGCAAAAATTGCCAGCATTGAATTTTTCCTTTTTTTTTTGAAAATTTTTTTGCTCTGCTGATTTGGCGTAGCTCGGCTCCTATAGAATATGTAAATACGTAGAAATAAAGCAACATAATTTGTGATGGGACAAAAAATCATTTTGTGCGTGTCAATTCGTTCCTCTGAATGGACTGCCAAAATGTGGTACCAAGTAATAAATTACAGGAATTAGGGAATATATTGAGTGTTCAAAGAAGTCCGATTACTAGGATAGAGTCAGGTACTGAGACATCACATATGAAAACATTGAATAGAAAAACGTAGCGAATTCGCTAGAAGATTCTATTGGAATTCTCTAGAAAATCTATTGGGATTCGATTAAAATTCAATTTGTTTTCTGCGCTGATTCTATGAGATATTTGATAGGAAAAAGTCAATAGATTTCGATTTTTCTATATGAATATTCTCTTGGAATTTTTTCTATGAGAATATTTGGGCATGAAATTTTCAAGTTTTATTCACTCGGATCCTGTAACATAAAACACAACAAAATATAGCATAAAAACTTGATAGAAAAATTCTTAAGAGAAAAATTTAAACAGAAAGATCGAAATCTATTGACTTTTTCCTCTTACATATCTAATTGAATCTGCGCAAAAAAGAAATTGAGTTTTAACGAGAATTCCCTAGAATTTTAATGGAATCTCTACAGAACTTTTAGAGAATTTCAATAGAATTTTCTAGCGAGTTCCCTAAGGCTTTCTATTGAATTTTTTCACACGCGATTAACTTCGAATTGTTTCAAAGAAATATTAATTAAATTCTTCAAATCACATTCTTGACAAAATCGACGTTTTTTCGTGATAACTTTTATCATTCTTTTTTTCTGGTGATGTCAATGATGCATTGATTGCAGAATCTGAGAACCAAGGAACTGGGTCGTCTTGTCATTTATGGAGACGTAATGACATCTTCGATGCATGTAGTCGCTGGTCGCCAGCTGCATCACGGACTGGTAGTTATTCCTCGTCAGCAAACACAGGGACAAGGTCATAATTTTTATATTTAATTGATGGCCTGATTGGGAGGAATCACAGGGAATTTATTGCCAGTGAATTATGAAACGAAATGTTTAATTGTGGGTTTTCAGGTCGCAATAAAAATGTATGGCTCAGTCCCATAGGCTGTGCAATGTTCACGATGCAGATTCACGTGCCTGTGAATTCTTACCTCGGTAGACATCTATCAATAATCCAGCACCTCGTCGCTGCTGCCCTTGTCTCGGCGGTTAAATCGATACCCGGGTATCAGGTAATATTTGAATTTAAGGCCCGAGTGTACTATCTTTCGAACGTTATCTCGATGTTTTTTTCATCTTTCGTCATCTGAAATTGTTAATTAATTCCTGCATCATGCAGAAGTTTTAAAAAATTATGAATGAATAATAAAAAAAAAGTAGAAAAAATTCTTAATTTTTTCAAAGAGCATTTTTAATTTATATTCAGAATAAGTTGAATAACAAGAAATTGAAAAATGTATCTGATTTACGGTGACAAATGGCGGCCTGTCACCCAACATCATGTAGGTGGAAGACTGATTTCGTAAATCTTTTCCCACACTGCACAGAGACATTTATTACGGAAAAGGCTCTTTGAAAAAAGTTGTAATATTTTGGAGAATTTTTTAATCACACTTTTATCACATAAAAATGGCAGATGATTACATACCACTGTTTTGAAAATTGAGATACCTAGCTGTCACTTCCCATAAGGAGTTATTGTTTTGTTATCCACCATAGAAAATGACAGCTAATAGATAATTGCCACAGCGAATCATATATTTGTAATTTCCACTTTTTTCAACTCATTCTGAATCTCAATTAAAAACGCTCTTTGAAAAAGTTCAGAATTTTTTCTATTTTTTTTTTAAACATTCTATCATCATTTTTGGGAATTTCTACATGATGTACCACTCAATTGACAATTTTGGATTACGAAAGATGAAAAAAATCCAGATAACATTCGAAAGATAGTACACCCGGGCCTTAACTGGAGTTGCTCTGGATTATTTACTGATCCTTTATTTCAGGATATTGACTTGAGACTGAAGTGGCCAAACGATTTTTATGCTGGGTCTCAGACTAAAATTGGTGGACTCATCGTGACGTCTCGTATACAATCATCAGAAGTCATTTGTGATATCGGTAAATGAATTGTGCATAGTATCATTGCGAATATTTGGAAGGAATGTACACAGTTAAAAAACAACACTTGAAATTCCTCGTAAAAATGTTTGAAAATTACAGCATGCAATTTACATGAAATTGATTTTGTTAGGGAGAGGTTTTCTTCACCCCGGGAAAAAAAACTTTTTCGTTTTTCGAGACAAAACATTTTTAAATACTATTTTCCGCGGAATTTTTCCTCAGGAATCTGATTTTTTTGGTCAAAATTGTCTCCGGCCACTCAAAATTAGGCAGTCGATTTTTTCCATCGAAAAGTCAGCTTAACAAAAATTTTCAGTAGTAATACCACGAGACCTCCAAAATTATCGGATATTTCCAGATTGTTTTGTTGCGTAGCAATGAGAGGGAGAAGTTTTGCAGATTAAAATCCCGAGCGCTCAGCGCGGGGGATTTTTGTGCAAAACTTATCCCAATCGTTGATACGCAGGAAAACATCAGAGAAATGTTCGATTAATTTTGGAGGTCGAGTGGTATTCGACGGATTATTTTTGGTAATCGGATCCTTCCCAAACCGACTCATTTTGGCTTTCTTCATTACTTTCTTTCACTCCACAGGATAATATTTGACAGTTATTTGGTTAGAGAAACAATTGCAGAGATAGAGGGAAATTATCAAAATCTACAGGGAAATTATCAAAAGCTAGGGGGAAATAACCGCTGTAATTTTAATTGGGAAGTACTTCATGTTATTGAATACTGAACTGTAATTGGCCCAGGGAAGGCCAGATCCGATTACCAAAAATAATCCAATGTATTTTTTTATAGTTTTTTGAATGATCACAAATTTTCACTCTATTATTGAGCAACCAAAAAATAGTGATACCGCGAGACATCACGAGATAATACTTTGGAGGGATTGTCTCGGTTTCAGTGAACACGAAAATTTTTTATCTCGTCTCAGTCTTGAAATACGCAGTATCGACTCCTCTTGTAATGACTCCGAGTCAATTTATCTCATCTCGGTTTCCAGTTTTTTGCGTTTTTTATTTGTAGAAAATCGAGACAAAAACCGAGATTATCTCTCCAAAGTTTTGTCTCGTAAAGTGTCTCGCGGCGTCACTACCAAAAGAAGTTATCTCCAATGGATCGATCATATTGTCGAAAATTTTTATGAGTATCAATTAGAATGAGTGAATTTATACAAGAAGAATAGAAAATTAGTAATTAGCTATGTAGGAGCCAAATTAAAAAAAATTAACACGTAATTGCGATTGCACTTTTTTTTTCATTTTGAAAAAAGGAAATGCTGTAGCTAAAAAATTGGAGGCCCTGGACTATTTTTAATATTTGAAGTATCTGCGGGGCAAGCAAACAATGAACGATTAATTTTTTTTGCACTAATTATTCGTTTTCAGATATATATAATCGATCTTCAATGTATGCGAAATCTCACTCCAATAGCCCGCGAGTTTTAAAACTCATAGCAGTCTCCCCTTAAATGCATAAATAATTATATTCTTTGTATCATATTAATTGTTGATACATCATTTGAGTTTTTTAATTGCCTTAAGTTTCGTTTATCTCTTAAATTCTAATAAGAAAAAACTATAATAAAAATGGTAAAATTTTAGCTAATTACTAAAAATGTAGTAACTTACATAAAATCAGTTGGAATGTCGTAGTTGAAACATCGCAGTCGAAATGTCACCTAGTGGCAATGACGTGCCACCACTTTGTGGACAGTTTCATGAGTTTTTATGGAATTTACAATTAATTTCATCGGTTACAGGACTGGGAATCAATCTTTCTAACAGCCTCCCAACGTGTTGCATAAACGACGTGATCAAGAAGTACAATGAGAAGCATAAAACAAAATTAACACCTCTCGCTTACGAGAGTTTCCTCGCCCTTGTATTCAATGAACTGGAGAATCTCTACAATATTGTTCAAGATGGGAATGTGGAGCATTTCTACAATCTTTACTACGACTACTGGCTACATACGTGAGTTGAAATTTATTAAAAAACTCAAGACGTCGTTCGTTGGTAAAACCAACAGGACAAAAAGTGATAACTCCAAAAATTTCATTTGGACAGTTCTGGAAATATTTGGCACTTGTCCCTATCTGAGTTGGGGATAGTCATTTGGAATAGAAGAAGAATTCTGGAAACATCTCTGAAACGATCAAGCTCACGGGAAAATATCGAAAGACAACACGGATAAAAAAATTCAACAAAAAACCTAGGGAATTCGTTAGAAAATTCTATAGGAATTTTATGGGGTTTCTATAGGATTTCTATCGGAATTCTATTGAAAAATTCAATTTTTTTGGGCCGATTCTATTGGATATTCAATAAGAAATAGTCAATCGATTTCAAATTTCTGTTTGAATTTTTCTCTTAGATTTTGTCTATTAAAATTATTCGGCACAAATTTTCTGAATTTTTTCCACTGGATTTTGTTTTGTTTTGCATTGCAGAATCCAAGTGGAAAAAACTTAGAAAATTGACGTCCAAGCATTCTGATAGAAAAAATCTCAAGAGAAAATGCAAACAGAAATTTGAAATATATTGACTTTTTCTTATCGAATATACAATAGCATCAGCGCAAAAAACAAATAGAATATTCCAATAAAATTCCAATAGAAATCCTATAGAAACCCCCATAGAATTCCTATAGAATTCCAACAGAATTTTCTATCGAATTAGCTAGGTTTTCTATTGAATTTTTTCATCCGTGAATTTTCGTTGTCCATACATTTTTTTTAGAAAAAATCAATAGCGAATGAGTAAGACAATTCAGTAGCGAAGTGGTAAAACGGTACAAGTCAATTTTGACTATGGACCAGTTTTCAATGAATATCTCGTAACCTAAGGGAGATAGCAAAATTTTGTTTTGAAAATTTTGCAATCTCCCTTAGATTCAGAAATATACCTCAAAAACTTAACTGGGAGATAAGTCGACTTGAACCGTTTTACCACTTCGCTACTGAATTCCAGTCGACAGCTCTTAGCTGAGTTTTTTAGAAATATCTCCGAATCTAAGGGAGACAGCGTAATTGTCGAAAAACCCTTTTTTGCTCTCAATCTGGTCTACAAAAAATGTTATGACAAAAATTTCGCTATCTGCCCTAGATTCCGTGATGTTCATTGAAAACTGACAAATAGTAGGTGGTACTCAGATTAAAAAATATTCCCAAAAAACTGAGCTAAAATTAAATTAGACTTGTCTTATGTTATCAATCCGCAACTAAATGACTGCATTTATTAATCATATTCAATCCTTTGCCCCATCTAGAGATGCAGACGTCAGTGTTATATCAGCCGAGGGTACAAAACAAGAACTGAAAATCATTGGGATCGACAATTTTGGATTTTTAGAATGTGAGGATAAGAGCGGGAAGATTTTCACAGTCCATCCAGATGGGAACAGTTTCGACATGTTAGCAGGATTAATAACTCCCTCTCCAGCAAGATAATCGATCCGAATCATCAGCCAGAACAAAAAGCAACAAAATAGGTCAGAACAGAACAAAACAAGAATCAAAAAGAAAAGCCATAATAATTAAGCCATATTAAGTTATTTACGGTGTGTCGTGGGATCATTCCAATAGTATAACTCCACGACATTTCATATGAATAGGCTGTTATAATTTAATTCAATGAAAGTTTCATCAGCTATTTAATGCTTCCGCCAACGGCCATACGACGCTTACCATTAATTGTTGAATGTTAAGGGAACGTCGAAGGGAACGTGAAGGGAACGTTGTCTTGTACAAAGTTACTACCAAAGACACTTATTCCTTATAGATGATAGCTCAGTTTGCAGCCATATCTATTTATTGTTTCAATTTATTGAGGGGAGATCAGGGGGTTTCAGTAGCGAAGCGGTAAAACGGTTCAAGTCGATTTTGACTGTCGGCCAGTTTTCAATGAATATCTCAACATCTAGGGAAGATAGGCAAATTTTGGTTATGACCTCGTTTATGGCTCTCAATCCGCTCTACAAAAAAGGTCATTATGAAAATTTCGTTATTCCCATTAGATTCGGAGATATGCCTCGAAAACTTAGCGAAAGGATAAGTCGACTTGAACCGTTTTACCGCTTTATTACTCATTTGAAGTACAGTTTAGGTTTTCGATCGTTATTCCATAGAAGAAGATGTTTATTGTAGAAAACAGTAGGGAAGTGGTAAAACATTCATTTTGGAGTTATATTCACTGGGTGTTGATCATGGGATTTTGATAGATTAATTCAAATTTTATTCGTTGTATATTTACTAAAATTCGGAAACGATCTGAACTTGCATCCTATGGATTTTGTTTCAGAGCTTTAGCAAATGAGTGTACGTTATGTTGTACAAATCATGCAGCAGGAATAAACCACAATTGACAAGAAGCAAGCACACGCCTCAATTTGAGATTATAAATCTCAAAATAAAGCGTGTTTTGTTAGGCGTAAAACAATTTACCCGAAAAAAGAGATTGAAAGAAGAGTGAGACTTGTAAAAGGCTCTAATCCAGTAACGATGCGGTAAACCGGGTTAAGTCCATTTGGACTATTGGCCAGTTTTTTACAAATATCTCGGAATTTTAAAGAGAAAGACAAATTTTTGTCATCACCTTTTTTGTAGAGCCAATTGAGGATTATAAAAAAGGTCTGTTTGAAACGCAGCAAATGAGTCATTATCTAAAGTTGCCGGGTCCAACGGAAAATCTCGACCGACTTCGGGACCCTTCGGGTTCACGGACAAATCACGAAGCAAATCGCCAAATATGAAATTTCAGTAGTATCAATCTATTCCTTAAAGAGTATACATCGGTTAGTCCGAAAGTCATCTACACTGAGAAAAAAAAATTCTAAGAAATAGAAATTCTATGATTGTTCCAAATCATTCATCGATTGAATAGTCGCAAAAGAAAATGCTATTGTAAGACGCAAATATCGATTTGATTTTAATGTTTTCGATTGACAAAGAATGAGATCAGTTATCTAAACTTTGTTTTGGTTACTATCTACTTTTCAGTACATACAAATCAATGTCTGTATTATCAGATATCTTCTTCGAATAAAGCATGTAATTATCCAATTTATAAGCGTCACGATATCCCGGAAAAGAATATCTGTTCGATTGAAAGCAGAATTCATAGATGCAATAAAATATTCATTTGGTCTATGAGGAACATATTGTTGGATACTCATTGATGCAAGACTTTCGCGGTGAGCAGTTTCTTGTTTACGATAAACGCAATTCTTCATCATTTGAACTGATTATTTTGCCATTGTAATTGTGAAAAAAAAATTATTTGCGCCAAATCCGAAGCGTTTAAACTAAACCAAAATTGAATTGTATGAAATCGATTTTGTCACAAAAACATGTATTTTCTAAATTCGATAGAATAAACAAAATATACTAACTATAACAAAATCAATTTCATACAATCCAATTTTGGTTTAGTTCAAATCGATATTTGTGTCTTACAATAGCATTTTCTTTTGCGACTATTCAATCGATGAACGATTTAGATCAATCATAGAATTTGTATTTCTTAGAAAAAATTTTTCTCAGTGTATAAAGTACAGTATCAAAGTAACCGAGCATCGAGAATATTATATTGAGTCTAGTGCTCTGTGTAGTGTCTCTATTTGATTCAATTACCAATTAATTCTGAGTTAACTATCAATTATTTTGAGTCAATCATCATGTTTAATATCCAGAGAATCTTTAGTGCAGTGTAAAGACTATTATCAAATTGACATTGAGACATTCACCAATTCGTGTATCCCTGAAATCAAGACGCGTGGCTTGCGCCACAAATAAAGTACATCACCAGTGTTTTACAATCCGCGTGTCTTTAATTTCGCCCTTTCCATATCACGTGTCCCCAATCCGCCCTAATATTAGCCTCAATCTCTAACAAGGTCATGACAAAAATTTTGCTATTTCTTACAGATTCCGAGATATTCATCAAAAACTGACCAAAAGTAAAAATCGACTCAACTCGGTTTACCGTTTCGCCACTGATTTGAGATTTTCAAATGTCTCAAATTAAACTTTCAGACGTCCAAAATTGAGATCTTCGAAAGTCCCAAGTTGAAATTTTCAGAACTCAACTTGAAAAAAAATTCAAGTTGAGTTCGGAAAGTCTTAACAGAATGAGGCATTCTCATTCTGTTAAAAGTCTCAACTTGAGATGTTCAAAAGGCTTAAGGCCCGGGTGGATTATCTTTGGATCTTGGTTGTTTTTTTTATTTTGATAATCTGAAATGATCTCCAATTGCTATTCAGTTTTACACAGTCCTGTAGTCTCCAAAAATTATAATTGTACAATCAAAAAAGCGTTGATAAAAAGTTGAACATTTTCAAAGAGAGTTTTTGAATAATATTGAGAAATAAACCCAATAAGGAGGAAATTACCAATTAATAATTTGATGTATCTAATGGCTGATGTTAGGCCGTCATTTGTCACAGTAGTCAATGGCTGTCAGATCGTTAGTTAGCATGATAAATTATCCATTCACTATTTCGTCTCTATCGGACTTATTTTTTAATCTTTATTAAAAACACTCTTTCAAAATGTTCAGTTTTTGTTCAACTTTTTTTGATTGTATAGTTATAATTTTTAGAGAATCCCGCGTGATGTAAAATTCAATGGAAATGTGATATATTTTACATTATAAAGATGGAAAACCAATCGAGATAACGTTCGAAAGATAATCCATCTGGGCCTTAAATTGAGATCTAAAAGTTTCATCATTCAGTAATATTTATGTCATGTGGCGGAACTTGATAATGTTACGATGATCGAGTGTTTATCTCGAAAATGAGCATTTTGGGGAGATACGTAAAAAAAATTTTTTGTCAGAGAAAAAATTCCATGATAAAATGTAGAATCGTTTTCCACCCCGAAGGGAAGAAAACGTATATTTTAGGTCTTGCCGAGGCTTGACCCTTCGGAGATTACCTTGCGTGATCCTTTGCATGTGCGTGTGCCCAACATACCAGAAAACCTACCTTGAGAGCCATCTATGAGGGGAAAAGGGTACCTTTATCCGAGTTTCAAGTGCGGCTAGCGCGGACGACGCGAAACGGAGTAGGTTGAATATGTCACTTTCTGAAAATGTCACGATCTGAGTCGGTAGGGCAGAAACTAGAATCCGCTTGTGGTGACATCTGAAGAGTAACTTGATAATCAAAATTAAATGGGATCCGAGAGATGGCGAGCGCGCTGCTGAAATATGGTTAACAGTGGTTGTCACATTAGATTCTGTAGAAGAACAACGATTAGAGGAGTCGACTTAGCGGACCCAGTTGAGAGTTAGAACTCTTGAATTTTTACAGCAGTTAACAGAAAGTTAAGAGTTGAACTAACAGCCTGAACTCTTAACATTCTCCAGAGTTAAGAGTTCAGTTTCGGTGGATTTCAAGAACTCTCCGAACTCTTAACATTCTCCAGAGTTAAGAGTTCAGATTCGAGAGGTTTCACGAGCTCTCTGAACTGTGAACATTTTCCAGAGTTGAAAGTTCAGTTTCGGGGGGTTTTAAGAGCTCTCTGAACTCTAGACATCCTTCAGAGTTCAGAGTTCAGATTCGGGATATTTCAAGATCTCTCTCTCTCTCTCTGAACTCTTTACATTCGGTGTTTCAAGAGCTTTCTGAGCTCTTAACATACTCCAGAGTTGAAAGTTCAGTTTCGGGGCATTTCAAGAGCTCTCTGGACGCTCAACATTCTCCAGAGTTGAAGATTCAGTTTCGGGAGGTTTTAAGAGCTCTCTGAACTATAGACGTCCTCCAGAGTTCAGAGTTCAGTATCGGGAGTTTCCGGTACTATATCAACTCTTAACATTCTGCAGGCTTAAGAGTTTCGTTTGTTGGGGGGGAAGAGGCACGTTGAACTCTCCACACTATCCAGAGTTAAGAGTTCATTTCCAGGAAATTTTAGCGCTTGTCTAAACTCTGGACATCCTACACAGTTAAAAGTTCAATATCGGAAGTTTCCGGTGATATATTACTCTTAAGATGATGCAGACTTATGACGTTAGTATGGGGGGGGACTCAGAACTCTCAACATTCTCCAGAGTTGAGAGTTCATTTTCAGGAATTTTCAGGAGCAGTTTGAACTCTCAACATTCGCCAGAGTTGAGAGTTCAGATTCGGAATGTTCCAAGAGCTTTCTGAACTCTTTACATTCTCCAGAGATAAGAGTTCAGATTCGGGATGTTTCAAGAGCTTTCTGAACTCTTTACATTCGATGTTTCAAGAGCTTTCCGAATTCTCCAGGGTTGAAAGTTTAGTTTCGGGGGATCACAAGAGCTCTCTGGACTCTCAACATTCTCCAGAGTTGAAATTTCAGTTTCGGGGGGGTTTTAAGAGCTCTCTGAACTCTTAACATTCACCAGTATTAAGAGTTCATTTCCCCTTTTGAGTTAATTTCCATGAAGTTTTAGGGTCAGTATGAACTTTCAACATCCTCCAGAGTTGAAAGTTCAGTTTCGGGGTTTTTTAAAAAGTCCCTGAACTCTTGTAATCCTTCAGAGTTAATAGTTCAGTAAAGGAAGTTTTCAGTGGTATATTAACTCTTAATATTATCCAGACTTATGACTTTAGAATAGGAGGGGTGGGGGGCGGGAGTTCGGGGGTAGAGCTTTCTGAACTGTTAATATTCTGTACAGTTAAGAGTTCAGATTTGGGATGTTTGAAGAGCTCTCTGAACTCTTGACATTCTCCAGAGTTCAGAGTTCAGTATCCGGAGCTTCCGGTGCAATATCAACTCTTAACATTCTGCAGGCTTAAGAGTTTCGTTTGTTGGGGGGGAGGAGCACGTTGAACTCTCCACACTATCCAGAGTTAAGAGTTCATTTTCAGGAAATTTTAGCGGTTGTCTGAACTCTGGACATCCTACACAGTTAAACGTTCAATATTGGAAGTTTCCGGTGGTATATTACTCTTAACATTCTGCAGGCTTCAGAGTTTAGTTTTTTGAGGGGGAGAAGCACGTTAAACTCTCAACATTGTCCAGAGTTAACAGTTCATTTCCAGGAAGTTTTAGGGGCAGTTTGAACTTCCAACATTCTCCACAGTTGAAAGTTCGGTTTCGGGGGGTTTTAAGAGCTCTCTGAACTCTTAAAATTCTCCAGAGTTAAGAATTCAGTTTCGGGATATTTCAACAGCTCTCTGAACTCTCAACATTTTCAGTTCAAGTGGAGTGCGTTACGGGGCCAACTATCTATCATGAAACAACGTCACTGTGTGCTATTATGGAATGGATTTTATAAACTATGTGAAAACTTTTTTTCCAGGAAAATAATTTACCACTTTCTCAGTGACGGTTTCCTTCTTCTTCTTCATCTTCTTGTCCTTCTCGTCGCCTGGACGTGTTGATGTTCGAAATCTTTTGTTCGTTGAAGTAGGTCTTTTGCTGTGAAAAACGTTTTCACTGTCATCACTGTCCACTTCCACAACATTAGACCGCTTTCGGCTGCTCTGGGCTGGATTACTGGAGGAGTTTTGCTCCAACTTCTTTATACGCGCTTCGAGGAGAATGTTGTGTGCACGCAGTTTAGCTATTTCTTTA